GGGGGGGGGGGGGGGAGGAGCACCATCCTCTTAGGGGTCCCCAAGGCTCTTTCAGGTGCCCAGGTTCTCAAGGTTTGGCTTTTTTTTTCTGTGTTGGTGCCAGAGCAGCATTGGGTGAGAGTGCCAACTGCCTTAGCGGTAATCAAGGCGGTGGCAGCAGACTGTACCTGCAGTGGCAAAAGGGCCAAGACCACTTAGAAAGATCCTTGATAAGGCATACAAATTACTAAATTTATTAAATTGCACCCTTGAGTACACATCTTTTTAAAATTCTGTGTCGCAAACTGAGGAATAGCATAAAAGTCCTTACACTGTATATCATACTGTATGTATATCAAGAAAAAGCAGTTGTGGGAGTGCTTGAGTTGCAACCTGAACTAGCTGGGTTGTCTTTTCCCCCCACAGAACACCATTTTTAGTTGATAGAAACACTTGCAGACAAACTGGTTATTCAGCATTAAGACCTGGGCAACAAATAGATTCAGTGACATAGAAGCATGGAACAGACTGACCAATCTCAGAGGGAAGGTAGGGTTGGCGGGGGTGGGAGAGATTAACCAAAGAATTTATATGCATATATGCATAACCCATGGCCACAGACAATAGTGGGGTGAAGGCCTGGGGCGGGGAGTGAGTGGAAGGGCCTAATGGGAAAAAAGGGGACATCTGTAATTTTTTGAACAATAAAGATAAATTAAAAAAAAAAAGAACTGGGCAAATATATTCTCAAAAATAAACAAAGCAAACCTATTACTTCAAGGATATTATGTGTTGCTAACAATAATATTTAAGTTTTCATGAGAAATTTGAATTTTGGAAACCTTGTATCTGCCACTGTGTGCTCAATAGCTTTTCAGTCCTTAAAGACTTTTCAATGATATCAATGGTGGTGTTTACAAATATGATTTTTTGATCTTGTATAACAAAATGAGTCCACATTTGGAAAACCCACATACTTTTGTGACCTATGTATGATGTTACAAAAAAACTTGCATTTAAAAGAAAAACCAATGGATTTTAAGGTAACATGGTACAAAAGTTCACTGTGACTTCAGATTTGACATTTCAACTAACCCCTAAGAAACTCCCAGTTGGCTCTCTCTCTTCAAGAAGGCAACCAAGCAGCCTCCCCAGCAGACAGAGATCCATGATCTTTGTGAAGACCCTGACTGGCAAGACCATTACCCTCAAGGTTGAGCCCAGTGACACCACTGAGAATGTCAAAGCTAAAATCCACGACGAGGATGTCCCACCTGATTGCGCACCAACAACTGGAGGATGGCTGCACTCTCTCAGACTGCAATATTCAAAAAGAGTCCACCCTGCACTTGGTGCTTCCTCTGCAGGGTGGCATCATTGACTCCTCCCTCCGCCAGCTTGCCCAGAAGTACAACTGTAACAAGATGATCTGCCTCATGTGTTGCGGCCACCTGCATCCCCCGCACTGTCACCTCCCACAAGAGGTGTGGCCACACCAACAACCTGGGCCCCAAGAAGAAGTTAAATAAGGCCCCTCTACCACCTCCTTGGACCCTGCCTGAACCCCATGGCCCTGGGGCCTCAATAAAGTTTCCTTTCCCTTGACTGGAGCAGTTAAAAAAAAAGAAAAGAAAAAAAGAAACTCCCAATTGGCTCAAGTTTTGTGGGATGTCAATGAATGTCTACAAGTATATGAAAAGATTATTAAAATATCTCTCCACTTTCCAACTAGGTTCCTGTGTGAAGCTGGATTCTCTTCATTTACTTCACCCAAAACAGTATATCCTAACAGGTAGATGAAGAAGCAAATGTGAGAATCCACCCGTCTATTAAACCAGATAAAAAAATGTACTAAAATGTAAAATAATGATACTCTTCTCACTATTTTTTTATTTTGAAAAATAAAGTTATTTTTCACAAAAATATAGTACAGGGGNCTATTAAACCAGATAAAAAAATGTACTAAAATGTAAAATAATGATACTCTCCTCACTATTTTTTTATTTTGAAAAATAAAGTTATTTTTCATAAAAATATAGTACAGGGGTGGGCAAAAGTAGGTTGATAGTTGTTCATATGGAAAATAATACAATAATAAGTAATACAAGAATAATCTCTGTGTTTTGTGTACTCACAACTATAAACCTACTTTGCCCACTGCTGTATATTAACTTGATAGGTTAAGTTTTTTAATTAATAAATGAATATGTTTAAATATCTCGGTCTTATATCTAATACAGCAAATATTCCTAGCTACAACCCACATAAAAGTTCTTTGGAGGAACAAAACATTCTTTGGGATCCTCAATAATTTTTGAGAGTATAAAGGGGTCTTGAGACCAAAAGTTTTCTGAGCTTTGAAAACTGCCAGCTTAGAAATTGTAAGTTGTGGGACCCTGTGTTCAAACGCTGGTCAGCCTGACTCTAAAGCCCTTGGTCTTACCCTGAATTGCTCCATTTTGTTTTAGATTTGTTGTTTTGAGGTGCTAAATTTCCAAGAACCCATTAAAAATAATAAGTATTGGTGATATGGGCGAAATTATGCTTTAGTAACAAAAAACCTGAAATTTCAGGGGCTTTAAATTTCAAAGGCTTTCTTGGTCAGACCAAGTCTGCTGGTCCAGGCAAAACTCCAGGCCAGCTGTTATGCATTGTCAGTGAACTCCAGGCCAGCTCTTGTGCATTGTTGGTAACCTCAGGCTCAACTTGTTCTCCACAGTCCTTATTGCAGGGAAGGGGCACACTAGAGAGCCAAGCACCAGCAGCAATGACACTGTCACCTCTGCTGGAGTTTCACTGCAGGGTGAGAAAGTTGTAATCCTCTGTAGTCCAGAGAGAGAGCAGATATCCCCAATCATCTACCCTTCCTCAGCACCACCATCCTGTGACACCCCATCATCTGCTCCGAAAAGATGCTTGGTGCCTAGAGACATGAACAAAGTTGAGAACTTAGGTTCTGCCCTTCAGGGAATCACAAAATATCTAGAAAGGAAAGATACAGCTACAAGCAATGTCACCTTACCTTTGTACAGCTCTAAACTCTTTTCCAAGTTACCACATGAATAATTCTAGAACAGGGTAGTTAGAGAAGAAGTCCAGACAACCAAGCAGCTTCAAGTGTTCTTGAAAGAAAGAAAACCCTGGCTTGGAAAGTCAAGGATGGTTTCAGAGAGAAGGTGGGATATGAATAGAGGTCATGAATTGAGGGAAGGACCCAAACTGGTAGAAATGGAAAAAAATAAAGACATAAAATCAGTGAGGTAAGAGAGATATTTGCAGAAGGTGGATACAGCAATGTGACTACAGTTAATCATGCATAAAATATATTTCTAACACACAAAGATGACATTGGGGTGAGAAGAAAGGAAAGCTGCCTGAAGAGGACAGTAGCCAACCCCAGAGTGGGGCACAGGCCCTGGTGAGCACTTGGGTCCCTGGGAAGAGAGGGATGCAGTTGATAAGGCCCAGGAAAGGAGGTCACAAGCACTGAGGACTTCTCATGCATCGGCAAGAGAACTATCAAGCTTAGAGATACAGACATCACTTGTTTTAGTTGAAGAAACTAGAACCAAAATATGACCTATGTCTCTTTTATTCTAAGAAAGTATTTCCTTTATATTTCCCTGACTTCAACAACAGTAAAATAGCTACAGTGTGATAATGTTCTACACAAATGAAAGTATGATTTTCAGAAACAGCATTTTAAGAGCTATAAGTCGAGCAGATGTTAGCATTATCTTGCTTGCATTCAGTTGTCATGTTCTTTGACTTTCGAGAGTAGGTAAGTCCTGTTTTTGTGTTTCCCTGCTTTGTAGACTGACATCTACTTTTGGAGAGACATGAGATAAAAGAGAAGAAAGAAGAAAACCCCAGATGTTGAGATGCTCATTATGCCTGTGCTCAGGGAAGCTGCCATGACCCGCAGAAGCATCCAGAGGTTGGTTGAGAAAGGGAGAAACCAAAGTGGGCAGTGGTGGTAATGGGAGAGAGAAACACTGTGGGCATAGCATTCAAAGGACCTCTGGGTGGTTAGAATCAGTATAGTCTTCCTGTGATCCCTGCAAGGTTATATCCCTTAGTCTGTTTATTTTATTTTATTTTTAATCCTCACCTGAGGACAGAGAGAGGAAGGGGGAGAGAGCAAAAGAAACATCGATGTGAGAGAGAAACAGCAACTGGCTGCCTCCTGCACGCTCCCCGATCGGGGATCTACCTGAAGCCTAGGTATGTGCCCTGACTGGGAATCAAACCCATGATCTTTCAGTGCACTAGATGATGCTCCAAACAACTGAGCCACACTGGCCAGGGTTCCCTTAGTTTGTTTAAATGTTCAAGGTTAACTCATAGACTAACAATGCTAGAGCAGGGTAAGGAAGGTGAGGCAACAGGGCTGAGGCCTTGCATGGCAGGTGCACCAAGTCGCGTACTTCCTTTGATAGTCAGTGGAGACTCACTGTGTGGTTGAGAAGCTGACACTCATCAAAGCAGCCCATGAAGAAGACACTGGGGACAGTCCAGAAGGCAAAGGAGGGAGCAGACGGATAGCAGTTTGGCAGCTTGTTGCAGTAGTCCAGGCAGAGTCATTACAAGGTTGAACTAGAGCCGGGTCTGCAAGGTTAGAAAAAGAAAGTGAATGCCAGAGTTATTGTGAAGGCATGAAGGGCATACCAAATAGATTCAGGGTGAACCAGAAGGAATTAAACAAGATTCTGAAGTTTGAGTGGTTAAGAGTCGTGGTTGGAGAAGCTAAGAAAACACATACGTTGATTTAAAAGATTTTGGTGTTCTGTATTAGGCAAATTGCATTTGAGAGGAGGGTGGGTCATCTAAATGGGAATGTTCAATGCAGATAGACACGAGGACTGGAACTTAGAGAAAGGTCCGTGACTGAAATACAGATTTGAAGTGATCTACAAAAGAAGTGAGAAAAAAATTCATGGGAGTCATGAAGACTAGGAAGAGGCAAATGGCAGGACACCAGTTTGGGGACCCCATCTGGGGGGCTGTTAGGTTTTCTCCTCTTGACACCAAATACTTTAACACCACTTCTCCAATTCTCTGACACCAGCATGATTTGGGGACTTACTCTGGGCTTCCTGGCTTTGAGGCCTGGTTCCTTGCCCCTCCCCCATGTCCACCCCCCAATGCCCCTCAATTATTGGAGCTACCCAATACCTTTCTGTTCTTCCCTCCTTAAATCAGCCAGAGTGATTTCTCTTGCTTGCAGCTATGACCAGTGATGAATACAAACAGGCTACCAATGACATCAAGTCCTGCAGATCTATTAAGAGGGCGTTTGATTTCATGATTTGGTTATTTGTGACTTTAGGCAGATAGTAATGAGAATAAGTTTTATTAGGAGTAGAAAAGAAAGAATTCAAAGACAATGCTGATCTAACCACATGCCTGAGATTGATATTGTGCTAACCAGCAACATGGACTTGGTTGTAGACTGCTGGGGGACTCTTTGCAGTCCAGTTAGTGAAAATATAAGGCCCTCTCTTGCTTGGGGCGACATTTACATGTGAAGTGAGGTAGGAGAGATTTTGATTCTCATTTCTTCTTCCTCCAACAGAAGAAGGTTATTCCTGCACTCTTAGCATCATAACTAGGAAGAGAGCCCCACAGGCTGACCCAGGTTCTGATTATCCAGAAGACCACTGAGTCCTCTTTCCTCCCCTCCTCTCCTTTATATGGGGTTAAACACAAGCTCATGAACTTGGCACCCTAAGATCCATTGGTTCCCTCCTTTCCCTCACATGTCCACATGGAGGCAGGACTCTCTGGGGCCGCGCCCCATTATGTAAAAGTGTCATGTTCTTTCACAGGTGAGGAAACACTGCCATCTTTTCCTTCTGACTAGCATGCCCCCACCCCTCAGGCTTTTCTGTCTGGCAAAATCACAGGCTTCCTGTGCAACTCAGATTGAATATTGCTTATTCAGGCAATTGTCCTGAGTCCTCCACAGCTCAGATCCCATGATTCCTGCATCTTTCCTTTAGCTGTGCTCTCTAAATGACTGGTTATGCACCACAGCTACCTATATCTATTTATAAATTATGTGTATCACTGTACTGATTATGTGTGTCTAAAAACACACAAAAATTGAAAACTTTAAAGTATGAGATAAAAAAATATAAAGACAAGTTCTAATGTTTTCTTGTCTCTATCCCCACCCCAGCCCAGGTGCACAGCCTTTGTACAGAATTCTGTTGTGTTCATAGCATCTATTACAACCTATTATAATTCTGTTTCTATACCTGGTCTAATTTGCCTTTCTATCCACACAGTGCCTGACACAAAGTAGGTCCTTAAATATATGTTGAATTAACTTATATAACATTAGAAATATTTTTTTATAAATAAATAGTTCCCGTCATTTCTCAGTAATGACAGATTGTAGCAACTGGTGTATTGACTGACTTATCTGAACAACACAGTTTAAAAGTCAAGTAAATTGCTTTTTCATTGAAGCTGTCCTGACACTTGTCTCAGTTAGGCTTTCTCTACTGTCAGCCCTGGATTTATGCCTTAGGGCACAAACGAATGACAGTCCAATTTCAGGTCTGGGGCTGATAAAAATTCTAGCTCTGGGCTGATTTTTGAAACGAAGTATTTGGACACCAAATACTTAACTTTCAAATGTGAAAGTCTCTCCACAGACGCCAAAAGCCCAGTTTTTTGAACAATTTGGAATCAGAGATTTAAAAAAACAATGGGACTATACTTTAGTCACAGTTCCCATTTCTGAAAATTCTATTCAGTTTGGGCATTCAGGGCTCAGTGATTTTTCTGATGGGCATTAGTTGACTGTGAAATACTTCTTTAGAAAAATAGAACCTTTAAAACATACTATTATGTTTTGGTCCTCTATACTGTTCACTCTAGTCATTTAAGTTATCCTGCTGACAGCTCAGCGATGTAGGCAACAATGTATGAATGTGCTAATAATTGAGTGTGGGAGTCCTGTGAGGGAGTGAGTGCCTGCTTGTTGACTCTACTTGGTGCTCTATAGCATCACTTCCCAACATCCTCCCAATAAACCTCAAACATAAACCCTTCTTTTTAAAAAGCCAGTTTGAAATAGGCCTATAGTCTTGACTGAGCGCTTATTCTTTATTTGTTGTGTTTACTTGTCCCTCAAGACAACATTAAATTTCCACTAAGGGCCATTTGGATAAAAAAATCGGGTGAGTTGTTAGAATGATGCTCTAGTTTGGGAAATCCTACCCATGAGGAAACTGACGGTAGATGGGATGTTGTCAAAGGACTTGTTTAGGGTTTGAGTTGGTCTTTGAAGTAAGAAACCATTCATTCATCCTTCCCCCAGGGGATTTATTCCTAAATGTCCCACATCCAAGAAACAGCCGCCCAAGTACTGCCTGAGCAGTCACACCCCCCTCCCCCCATGCTGGGTGAACATGACTGAGTATGGAGTCTTCCCCTCCAGTGTGGTTGTAACATGTCAGCTGTTCCCAGTAGGGTTCTGCCTTCTCCCTACAGGGAGCAGGGGTGAGTGAATCAGCAAGTCCAACACCCTGCCTGAAGGAGAAACTGTTATTCCTCTGGATTACTAGTCCTTGATGTGCTTTGGACCTTAGTTTCATCTTTCCTCACCATTATCTCTTCTTGGCACCATCAAAAGAACGTCTCAACTAGTGGCCCTGTTTCCACCCTGCTCCCCCTGGTGTAGACCTGTGCTATGCAGTATGGTAACCACAAGCCACATAAGGCTATTAAGCACTTCAAATGTGACTAGTCCAAATTAAGAGGAGCTATAAGAATAAAATATACACCAAATTTCAAAGATTTAATATAAAAATGTATAAACTATCCCAATAATTTTAATATTGATTACATGTTGTACTATTAATAATCTAGCTATATTAGGTTAAACATAATAAAATTATTTTCACCTGTTTCTTTTTACTTTTCTTTAATCCTCACCTGAGGATTTTTTTAATTTTTAGAGTGAGAGGAAAGAAGAGAGGGAGGGAAACATTGATCAGTTGCCTCCTCTATGCTCCCCAACCAGGGATTGACCTGCAACCTCGGTATATGCCCTGACTGGGAATCGAACACACAAGCTTTTTGGTGTATGGGACCTCTTTACTTCTTAATGTGGCTACTAGAAAATTTTTTTTAATTGCATATATGACTCACACTTGTGGCTCACATTGTATTTGTATTGGACAATGCTGCTGTGGACTCCGTGCAGCACCTAGAGTGACACTTTGAAAATCACAAATATCACTCCTCTACTCAAAACTCCCCAATGGCTTTATATGTCACTGAGAGGCAAAGAAAGGATCTTATTGTGGCCTATAAGGCCTGAGATGATCATAGATGATCCCAACTACCTCTATGATCCCCTCCCTATCACTCCTGCCTTTGCCACTCCATTCAGGGCTCACTGGCCTCCTTGCAACTTGCTGAACATGCCAACCAAGCTCCTACCCCAGGGCCTTTGCATATGTGTCCCCCTCTGCTGAGAATTTGTCCCCCAGATATTTGTGTCATCTCTCAGTTCTTATAGGTCTCTGCTCATTTGCTATCACCCTATATGAAGTAGGAGCCCGTGAGCAGATATGTGTAGGCACGCACACACGTGTGCACACACACACACTTCCCTGTACCATCCACTCCCTCCTTACACTGCTTTAGTTGTCTTCATAGTTCTTACCACAAGTCGTCATTTTTTATTTCGTTGGTCTCCTTCTATTAAAATGTAAACTCTGGCTTTGGCCGGGTAGCTCAGTTGGTTAGAGCATCGTCCGATATGTCAAGGTTGCAGGTTCCATCCCCAGTCAGGGCAGATACAGGAATCAACCAATGAATGCATAAATAAGTGGAACAATTTGATGTTTCTCTCTCTCTCTCTTTCTCTCTCTCAAATGTAAAATAAAATGGAAACTCCATGAGAACAAGGATTTTTGTGTGGTGTTTGCTACTGAAAACCAAATGCCTAGACCGGTGCTTGGCATGTTGGAGACACCCAGTGAATATTGTTGAATGAAAGTGAATGAATGCCGGAGTAATGAATGTGTGTGGATCCAGGATGAAAAAGCCCAGAAGCCCCTCAGGTTGGCTGCTAGCCTAAGTAAAAGGATCTCCTCCACCACCAAAGGACTTCTGCACTGGGTTTGAAACAAAGCCTCAGAGTAATGGTGGCCCCTTGCCTGACTTTGTTCTCTCTAGATACTCAAGGAGGTGACTATGGCAAGGCAGGACCTGAGGATGTGGGTGCCGTCCAAATATTATCAACCCTATCACAGCTCACAAAGATCTCTGTGTGTGTACACCTTTTTCTTCCTTCTTCCCTCCCTCCCTTCCTTCCTTTCTCTCTAGCATAACTAAAACAGAATATAATATTTTTTAAATTCTTAGGTAAAGTCAAAAGAAAGCTACAAAATGCAAATAGCATAAACCAGTCACTGCTGTGCCTGGGCTGTGATCCCACAATGACTAGAGTCACATCACAGGTTGATTAAATTTTCAAGAGCAAGGCCTGGCTTCCTCTGGATTCAGCTTCCATCTGTCTCTGTCATATGTGCTCTGGACGTTACCTCATCCCCCATTACCTAGCATAATCCTGAGCATCTTCTTGAATTCAAGGAGACACTTGAATGTCAACTTTCCTTGTTATAAACCCTTGTTTTCTGGAGATTTCTAGCCCTCAGTTTATAGTCACTCTAAATGCAGTTAACCCTGTTCTTCCATGCAGCCCCTCCTGTGCCCCAGTACACTTCCAGATTCATTTCTGCAGCTATTCCAACCCCTGCTGGACTTATGGCAGTCCCCCTGGGAAGATCTAGCAGCTTGGCTCACTCAAGTAATGGGAATACAGTGCCCGAAGGGTGAAGGCCCCAGACACAGGGGAGCCTCTTAGAGCAGCCTCACCCCCAGAGCAGCCTGCAGACTCTCTGTGCCCCTGCCCCTGGCTGTGAGATCAGACAGGACTGTCCCTGCCTACACTCCTGAGGCCTCACCAGGTGCTAACCTGTGCCTCTAACGGAACTAAAATCTTGTTCTGTTCTTTGGGACTTACCCGTTATGGATTTGTGGCTTAGGTGTACTTGAAGGAAGGGCAGGAGCTACTTAAAAGCACTTTACCTGTCTCCTCATGTTGATTTCGCCCACACCCACTAGCTCTCTCACTCCTAGCTCAAAGGCCAGTGCCACATGCCCTTCCCCTCCATGGCCCCTCCCCTTTGATCCGGGGAGGACTTCGGAATTTAACACCTGGCTGAACACTTACCAGTGTCCTTCAGGAAATTACCTAATCCAGCTGAGCCTCACTCTCATTTGTAAAATGAGGACAAAATAGAAGGTACCTATCTCCCAGGGACCTTGCATGGCTTTCTGGAAAACATGCATGATGCCCAGTGGTGCTCCTCTTCCCAGTTGTAAGTGCTGTGTCCCCAAGCAGCTGCAGACCTGACGTTGCCCCACATGAGGAAGGCACAGGACAGCAGGAAAGCAAAACAGAGCAGAGCTCAGCTGAGAGATGGTCAAAGAAAGACTGTAAGGCCTGATGAACCTACGGGAGCCCCTAGATGTGGCTAAGCCTACACCAGAGACACCCCAAAACTTCCAAGTTCTGTGAATCAATAAATCCCCCCCCCTTTTTTTTTTGTTTTATTGGTGGTTTGATTTTTTGTTGCCTGTAAATGCAAAAGCCCAAACCAAAATACTGCTTTGCTGTGACCTGGCTCTTCTCTTTGGCAGCTTTGTATAAGATTTTCATGAGTCTCTGGCTCCCCTGGGTGGCAAAGAGACTAAATTCAAGTTTCTAGGATCCCTGCTTCCTGCATAAGCCTTCTCATTTCTACAATTTATTGATACTTCAACTCCTCCGGTGTCTGACACACTTGGCTCTACTCTTAGCCCACAAATGCTTGGACAGAGATTTTCTTTTCATGGTCCACCTGCTCTCCTGGCTGTGGGGGTGCCTGCAGTGAGCCTGTAGAATCCCCTCACTGGACCTGTTTGAGGTTGCCCTTGGCTTTGGGCGAGTGGTACAGTGAGTGGCCTAAGCCAGGGGGCAGGAAGTTACCCTTCTCTAGAAGCAGAACACAAAGCACCATTTTGGAATTATTAAAAAGTGTTGCCAACCCTGAAAACCACTCAGAGTCCATCATGATTTTAAAAGCCCTGGCTCCATAGCTGTTTTGCTCAGTGGTTAGAGCATTGGCCCATGGACTGAGTACAGCCAAGGCCATGTACTTCGGCTGCAGGCTCGATCCCCTGCCCAGTTGGAGTGCATGCAGGAGACAACCAATCGATGTGTCTCTCTCATATCGATATTTCTCTCCCTCCTCTCCCACTCTCTCTGAAGAGCAATGGAAAAAAATATCCTTGGAAGGGGATTAAAAAAATTATTTTTAAATAAATAAAAGCCCTGGCCCCGTGAACTGGCCTCATTCGGCTTACTCTGAATGCAGCAGGTGCATAATTGAAAAAAATTCAGGCCGACAGGCATTTTAATTGTGAAATTTGTGAGGAAATATTGGAAACACAAGGTTTAGCCATATTGGTTTTATTTTATCATGATCAGTTTCCTGGAGAGTCATTGCTATTGCAAAGTCAGCAAGGCCCCTGACACCCTTACCGACCTTTTAGTTCTCAGAGACAATCTGGAAACACATCCTTAGTAATTACCATTCTCTTGCTTACATTTTTACATAACTTTTGCTCATTCCTTACTGTGACCCTTGCTCTTCCTCGTAGGTATAGTCCATCACTTGTATATTTGCCGCCTCTGGCAGGGAAATGAAGTCCCCTTCCTCCAGCCTCTTCACCTCACCTCAGGTGTCAACTGCCTTGTCCCCCCATCCCACACCCCTGGCCCAGGCTGAGCTATGTGTACTGCTTCTGTTTCCAATAATGTTCTATACACAGCACCATGTTATGATGATTACATGGGATCATTGGGTGTCCCCAATTAGGTTGAGGAGCTTGAGGTATGGTCTTTATCTCTTTATTTCTTTAAACCAAGTGCTTCCTAGCACAGGGCCTGGTCCAAAGTTTATTAAATGAATATATAAATTAGAAGGACAGGAGGAGATAAAACAGCATATGTTGCCCAGATGCCTTACAGTACTGTGGTGAGGACTTCATAAGAGAGCATTAGTAAATAACCTGGAGAGGTAGCCAGGACAAAGTGGCCATGTCTGTCGACTGAATGATGGTGGATCCACATTCCAAAGGTGAAAATTCTGCAGCTCAGAGAGTATAAGCAACTTCCCGGAGTCACACAGTTGCAGTGAGAGAGTGGAGACATGAGAACAGTTCTCTCTGGTCCCTAAGCTCTTGGCTTCACCTACACCTCCCTGTGGCCCTTTGCTTACACCTCTCTGTATCCCTCACTCTAGCAGGTAGGTAAACATTTTTTTGTCAACAATAATCTTTGAATCAACTGTAATACTTTTATAGAATGGCTTTTGATGGGCGGAATTTCACAAATATTTGTTGGATGAATGGATGAATGCCTCGGCTTGGGAAAACTTCCACTGCTGAACAAAGGTGGCTGGCATGGCACTGTATTATTCCTTTAGAAAATGTACTGATATCACTATAGTGATCTACTAAGCAGAAACATGATGCTATAAAATGACATTGAAGTAAGGGCTTTAAGAAAAATGTAATAGAGATAAAGGTAAAGAAGATAAAGTGAAGTCAATCTCTCCAGGACAGTGACAAAGTAAAAATCTGCAGAATATTCTTTTTTTAAATTTTTTAAAATTGATTTCTAAGAGAGGAAGGGAGAGGGAGAGAGAGAGAGAAACATTAATGATGGGAGTCATTGATCAGCTGCCTCCTACACACCCCCTGCTGGGGATCGAGCCTGCAACCCTGGGCATGTGCCCTGACCAGGAATCAAAACGTGACCTCCTGGTTCATAGGTCGATGCTAAACCACTGAGCCACATGGGCTGGGCCAGAATAGTCTTACAAATCTCTCACAACAGAAAGGAGGCATTTTAACCTCCCTGCTAAAATTGGATTCTCTGATTTTGAATTACCTGTGAAGATATTAACATATATGAGTCTAATTTTATGAAATCTGTGGATTGTTGACTAAGTAGTCATGCACTATGAGCAGCACACTAATAGGTGAGGACAAGTAAACAGAGTCATGTTGTTTATTAGGAGAGGGTTACAGGAGGATGAAGGTAATTGGGTGTCTTCGGTGATGAGATCAATCAAGGCAATAACAACCATAACTGCCCTTTACCATGTTCTCTTGCTGTAGCAGGCACTTAGCTTATATTATTTAATTCATTGGTCCCCCCCTTTACCACAGTTCAGTAGGCCTTCCTATTCACATTTTACAGGTAAGATTTCAGAGAGGTTAGGTCGTTGCCCAAGAGAGGTTATCCCCAGACCCATCTGGCTCTGGACACAGAGTCCAGTATATTGTCTGTAACTCACTACCACAGAATCCGCAGCCTGCTGGCTGGCCCTAAATCTTGCCTGGTCCATCACCATATCCCCAGGGCAGACTGGTGTTTCATCCATCACAGGTGAAGTGAAGGCTACTCTGTATGAGCAAAGTGCACAGTGGACTAGTTAGAAAGTACTTCAAACTGAAGGCTCATAGGCATTTTTTTATGCAATCTGTAAGGATGTATTTAAAAGTACAAAGGTTTGGCCATATTGGCTTTATTTTAGCAGGATTGATGTCCTGGAGACCCACTGCTTATTGAAGAAAGTCAACAAGATCCTTGGAACCCTTTTTGGAAATGGCCCAAGGCTCCTGCAGTCCCCTTCCCTATCCTTGCCAAGCACCCCCACATCCCTTTACTCATAGACGGACACACTTTACTCTGCTCCAGGGAGAACTGTGATTCTGTTCAAGGACAAATGTAAGCCTCAAGGACATGTCATAGGTCACAGTAGTAAGAGTGAGGTTTCCTATACTCTCAAGAAACAATAAAAGGTCTGTTCTTTTCATCCTTGCACCCAAGGGTAATAAGCCTTGATCGTACTCCCTCCTCCCTCAGGGGTGTCCTCCCATTAGAACTGGCAAGGCCAGTGCAGGGCCTCAGGGAAAACAGCCTGTTGTGGTTTGTTCTAGGCAAGAGGGGCAGCTTTTCACTGCCTTGAAGCTGTCTGATGCTGTAAAACGGCTGGGGCAGTCTTTGGCTGGTTATGCCTCTCAGCCCTGGGAAGGCCAAAGAGAAGTCAGGCAGGAACAGAACATGTATATCCTGTTTAAGCACCTTGGTTCAGGGAGCACTGGGTTTGTGTTCTGGGACCTTTAGGGGACACACCCAATAGTGAAGGAAGAGGCTAGAGACAGGCGTAGAAAAACAGGGTCAAGTTCTCAAGACACACTTTTCTCACTTTTTCTCTTGGGCTGACCCTGTTCCCTCCCTTCAGAAACAAAGGAGAAGAACTTATACTATTGTCAAAAAGTAACAACGGTTGATAAATGAACTCCTCAGAAGAAAGCCTTTGCAAGCATAAAGTACAATAACATATTTGTGCATGTACCCTTTAATGAAAGATATCCATTTATAAACTTCCTCAGGAAAAACAGACTTGACATTTCACAATTTAAATAGTTGATTTCAGAGTCAGTAATCAGCAATATCAGCTTCCTCATGGTCACTGTGCTTCTCCCTCTCTTTGAGGTTGGGCAGCATGTCTTCTCTAGTGCCTTCCTCACTCCTCCTAACATACCTTATACCTTATGTCTGCAGATGTAGAAAGCAGCTGGAAGGCATGAGCAATGATTCTGGAGTGACTCATCTTTCAGAATCGGCAAGAAATACCATTTTTGCTGTTTCTCCTTTATGTTGGGGAATTAAAGTAACTTCAATTTGTATGACTCTTAGTTCTCATGTCTGTCTCTTTTTCACATCACTCTAGTTTTCCGCTATTAGACAACTGACCTTTGTGATTATATCCATCCTTGCCAGAAGTTGACTTTGCAAGCTGGTAGCCAGGTCTCTTGAACTATCTAGAAGAGGATTTCATCTCACTTGGCACAACTGAGGTAAGATCAGTCCGACTTGCCCAATAAAAACAAATCTTGAAAATGTTATTCTACCACTCTCACGGTTCTCCTTGGATCATTAACCCATTTGGGTTCCAAGAACTCAGTGTGCTACCCAAGGATGGCATCCATAATAACGCTAACATCTCTGGAGTTCAGACATATCCTGATTTCAGAATCTGACATAAAAATACACCAACACTTTGGTAGTGGTTCCCCACTAGAATTAAGGCGCCTTCCTTCAATGGGGCAAATTCAAATAGTCTGTACTTAAGTGACTCATCTTTATGTATAAGGACTTTAATTTACTTCATTATAGTTCAGAATAGAGAAGACACAGGACACTAACTCTTCCTTCCTTTCCTTTTTCTCACATGTGCTAATGAAACAAAGAAAAGAAGACAGGTGGAATCTATTTCTGGCATATAAATTTCATTTTCAGTGTGAAAAATCAGAATATTATATAGGGCAACAATGATCCTGATTATCAAAATATTAAATTTCTTTATTCCTTCCACTATAATAGAATTGTTAAGGGGGCCATAAATTTAAGAGTTACTTAATAATTTTCAGTAACTGCAGGTATTCTAATTATTAGTTCCTAAGTAAGGAAACTAAGGCAAAAAAAAAGTGATGAGTTTCTGAAGGAAATAATTTATAATCATAAAAACACTTCTCAATCACAGTCAAAATTAATTCCTTGGAGTGGGCAGGACACATCTTCACAACAGCAAGCATGTCCTATAGCTAAATGGGAGACATATCACCCCTCCCCAAAAATCAGGTGGAAGGTAGGCTGGAATTGTCTGACTCATAGCTATATCCTCTTAGCCTCTGTGGTTCAGAAATCAAACATTGCTTTATTTTACCTCAAAAACATCACCTCAGATTATGCCATTTTTGTGCCAGTAAAGTTTAAATAAAATCTTGTAGATATTAGAGCAGTGGGTCTCAATCAGAGGACTTTTTTTTTTCTGCTACTGGCACCTAGTGGGTAGAGGCCTGGGATGATGCTAAATATCCTACAATGCACAGGACAGTAACTCACAAAATAATTATTTGGCTTAACATGTCAACAGTGCCAAGGTTGAGAAACCCTGTATTACAAAAAAGCTGATAAATGTCTTTTCCCCCAATTAAGTATGTGATATGCTTTTATCATTCAACCATTCATCAAATACTTATTTAACATCTATAGGGCACTGTGAAGAAGAAAAACAAGGCCATTGCCTACCTGAGGCACACAATTCAAAGAGGCAATAAGTAAATAAGATAGTTGTAGATTGTGGTATATGTTGTAAAGGAAATAAATGGGTAACAACAGAGAGTGACTAGGAGGTACATTAGATAATATCGTCAAGGAAGACTTACCTTCCTAAGGAAATAAGGATGTTTTTTACAGCAAATAACAAAAACCACTAATTCAAGTTGGCTTAAACAGTAAGGAAATGTTTAAGTTCACATAGCAAATCCAGAGGTAGGGTTGGTCTCAGGACTGGCTTAAACACTGGGCTCCAACTTCTACCCAACTACAAATGCCAGCTTCCTCTTCAAGAATGTAGTCAAGTGTCTCATAACTGCCCCTACACACTCTCCTGTTCAAATAAATAGTTAAGGTGGACTGATTAAAAAAAGGAGGCTAAAAATGTACAACTCAGCTTCCACAGCAATATGAGTTGAAATACAAGTTCTGGTTTTCTTGAATAATTTTACTACTATTACTATGATTTATGGATTGCCTACTAACATACCACATGTTTTATTTATATTTAATCATTCCAAATTCCCAGCAAGGTGGGTATGACCTCCATTTTACAGATGAGGAAACTGAGGCCCACATAAGAATTTGAAGACTACATAGCTATTAACTACTAATGACATGTTTAGTACTTTACATACACTTTCAATTATTACATATACACTATGAAGTGGAACACAGGAAGACTCAGTAATTTCTCAAGGTCACACAGCTGGCAAATTAATAAATATATATAGTCAAGATTAAAGCCCATAAAGTCAAACTCCAAGAGGGCCGGTGCTCTTACAAGCTGTACTGTTGAGTATATTACTCTTGCCCCAGGACTTAAACCTGATCCAAATCTTTCTGGCTCCAAAGACTAAGAACTGTTACTTTCTCATTGCTATACAAGTTTCTTCATATAAAATGTGAGAAGCAGACCAAAAAATTTCAAAGTTCTTTTTCTGTTCAGAAATGCTATTATTCCTATACTTACCTGGCAGGGAAGATACCATGATTAGGAAGATGGTTTTCTTAAGGCAAGGCTCACCCATTGCACTCCGGGTATCCTGACTCCTGTGATTTCCCCAAATGTGGGAAACATGACTGCATAATTTGTGGTAGTGGGGGATTCATTTGTATTCTCCCCTTGGGGAAAAAAGCCGATACCATGGATTTTAATGTAAGGTTTTGATGTGCATAAAAAGGGGGGCAAGGGGGGGGCTTTTTGGTAGGGTCCAGCGAAAATAATTATATTTAATTATATTTTCAAATTTAAGAATGCAATCACCTTGTCAGTTGGTTGAATTGTCATCCCATACACCAAAAGGTGGCAAGTTCGGTTCCCAGTTGGGCTTCTACCATCATTTTATTAGGAGTCCTTTCAAAGAGCAAGATTTTAAAACTTAAACAAAGGGGGTATAAGATGGCACAGGAATAGGTGGGTCTTTCTTGCACCTCATCCCAGAACCAAACTGGAATTAACACTAAATTGTGGAATATTCACCCTGAATTATCAGCTGAAGACGAGCTGAAGAGGAGACTTTTAAACAAGGAAGAGCAGAAATCACCTCAAGATTGCACCTATACAACAGCTCGCACAATGTGGTTGGGGTAAACATAATAGTCAGCAATCATGAGAGGAGATCCCACCAATGAACAGGAATACGATCAAGACCCAATTACAACAGCCCAAATAACCCACAAAAGAGACACACCCAGAGCATCCAGCTCAGGAGTTGAAAGAGACAAAACACTAGGTCCTACAGGACATTTAATACAAAAGGCCACCCCCATGAAGAGTGGAAGTCATAGCAGTTATACTTAATACATAGAAACAAACACAAAGACACAACTAAAATGGGGCAACAAAGAAACAAGCCCCAAATGAAAGAAAAGGAGGAATCTCTAGAAAAAGACCTAAATGAGATGGAGGTAAGCAATTAATTATACATAGAGTTCAGAGTAATGGTTATAAGGATGCTCAAGAAACTTAGACCTATAAGAAACTTAGCGGAACTACATCAGCATGAAAAAGAACATAGAAACCACGAATAAGAATCAGTCAGAAATGAAGAATACTATATCTGACATCAAGAATACACTGGAAGCCTGGAGAATATTATGCTAAGCAAAATAAGTCAGTCAAAAGAAAGAAAATATCACATGATCTCACTTATATGTGGAATCTAATGAAAAAAATAAACTGACAGACAAAATAGATCCAGAGACATGGAAGCATGCAACAGACTGACGATTCTAGGAGAAAAGGGATGGGGGCAGGAAGAGATTAACCAAAGAACTTATATGCATATATACATAACCCATGGACACAGACAATAACGAATTGAAGGCCTGGGGAGGGGTCAGGAGTGAGGAGGAGGGGGTCAATGGAGAAAAAGAGGGGACATCTGTAATACTTTCAACAATAAAGATAAATGTTTTTAAAAAGGATACACTGGAAGGACTTAAAAGCAGGCTTGATAAGGAAGAGGATCAAGTCAGTGATTTGGAAGACAAGGTAGAAAAACACTCAATTAGAGCAACAAAGAGAGAAAAAAACCTCATAAGGAATGAGGAACGTTTAAGGTAACTTTGGGACATGAAACAAAACAAATCTGCATCATAGAGGTACCAGAGGGAGAAGAAATTGAACAAGAGATAGAGACCCTATATGAAGAAATAATAACCGAAAACATCCCTAACCTAGTGAAGAAAAAGTCACATTATTTCAGGAAGCACAGAGAGTCCTGATCAAGAGGAACACAAAGAGACCCATACCTAGACACATCATAATTAAAATAGCAAAAGTTAAAGACAGAATCTTAAGGGCAGCAAGAGAGAGACAGTTACCTACAAGGGAGCTCCTGAAAGACTGTCAGCTGATTTCTCAACAGAAACACCACAGGCTGGAAGGGAAGGGCATGAGAAATCAAAGTAATGAAAAGCAAGGATCTGAAAGAAAGACTACTTTATCCAGCAAGGCTATAGTTCAAAATTAAAGGTGAAATAAAGAGTTTCCAGACCAAAAAAAAAAAAAAAAAGGCTAAAGGAGTTTATTACCACTATCCAGCATTGCAAGAAATACTAAAGGTTCTGGTGTAAGAAGAAGAAGAAACGAGAGAGAGAAAGACATAGGCAAAAAGAATAAAAATGGCAATAAGTAAATATCTATCAGTAATAATCTTAAATGTAAATGGATTAAATGCTCCAATCAAAAGACATAGGGTAGCTGAGTGGATAAAAAAACATGACCCATATATATGCTGTCTACAAGAGACACACCTCAGAACAAAAGACTCACACAGGATGAATGTGAAGAGATGGGAAAAAAATTTTCCATGCAAAAGGGGAAAAAAAGCAGGTGTAGCAATACTTATATCTGACAAAAGAGATTTCAAAACAAAAACCATAACAGGAGACAAAGAATGTCACTACATAATACTAAAGGGATTGATCCAACAAGAGGATATAACCCTGGTAAATATATATGCGCCCAATGTAGGAGCACCTAAATATATTAAAAAACTCCTGGAGGGTGTTAAGGAAGAGATGACAACAATACAGTAATAGTAGGGGACTTTAACACCCCACTGACATCACTGGGTAGATCTTCCAGATGAAAAATCAACAAGGAAACAGCAACCTTAAACAACATATTAGATGTGATGGATTTAATTGACATTTACAGAACATTCTACCCCAAAGCTGCAGAATATACATTCTTTCAAGTGCACACGGGACATTCTCAAAGATA